TGCACCTCCTTCCCTGCCCCCTCCTCCCTGCTCTGGCCCCCCAAGTCCTGCAGCACCCTGGGCTGACGGCTGCCATACGCGTGGCCTGCTCCTACCCCACAGTTTCCCCGGCTTTGCACCCCCCTGCCTGTGGCGGCTTCTCCGAGGCAGGGCGCAGCCCCACTCCTTGTTCCAGTTATTTATTGTCTCCCTCTGGTGCGCTCAGCCCGCGGCTTCGGTGGGCCAGGCGGGGCGTGAGCTGGGCTGTGCAGGCAGATGTGCGCTGGCACCAGGACGATTTTGTACCCCCCTGCCGTCCCACGCTGTGCCGAGGTGACCGGCTGCTCTTTTTTTCTTTTTCTTTTTTTTTTTTTTTTACATGACTGTAAATATAGATAGAGCTTTATTTTGTTAATAAGACGAGGAGTAACTTAACCTGTATATTTCTCATACTTGTTTACAATCCCCCCCTCCTCTTGGCACAATAAAGATGACATTTTGGAGCAGAGTGGGGCTCACTGCTGTTTTGGGGTCAGGCCAGAGGGTGCTGGCTCCAGCACACAGCACCCTGGATCTTCATTCCTCTGGCTCACTTCCATCCTCCATCTCCTACTAAGGTGTTTGCTTGTCTTCTCACACCTTTCTTCTATCCAACTGTCTTCGCCTGCTTTGCTCTCTTACTTCAACCATGCGCCGGCTGGGCAGCAGTAGGATCAAGCCCCCGACCTCCGGATGTCGGAGCAGCAAGGCTACACGGTGCACTCAGAGCTTTGCATTTGCTGCCTGTCTCCTCTTTGCAGGCACACACACACCGCCTTACTCGGGGGCGAGCTATTATTTCGTGCGGAGGGCCGCTTACCGAGTTTTGGCAAGCAGTCGAGGGCCGCACCGGTAGCTCCGCCCCCTGATTGCCACACTGGGACCAGAAGTCCTGCCCCAGCCCCTGCCCTTTGCTACAAAAGTCCCTGCCCTTGCCCGTGGCCGTCCCCCTTTCAGGACGGGGTTTTGCCATCTCGCAAGCAGAAAAATCAGGGGTCAAGCCCCATCGCCGTTGGAAGGAGTAGCAGAGAAGACAGCAGGAAAGCAGGTGTGAGCTGGCCTGCTGCTATTTAAAAGACTAATAAAATTGCTATGCCAGCCACCTCCTTGGTGCCTGGTATCTTCATCTCCAAGTTCATCCTTTCCCCCTGCGCTGTCTTTGCTCTTTCCTGTCATTTTGCATCCAAGCTCCCCTCACCCGCTGCCCCCTTTCCTTTCTACAGTGGTTCTCTTGTAACCACTGCGTGCTGAGCGCCTGCGAGTGGATCGCCCAGGATGCTGAATCCCTTGCTGAAAAGGGATCAGTGGCAGACGTCATTTGACCTGCGTCTCTGGGAGTCGAGCGTCAGAGATTGAATCGAACACCTGAGGCTGCAGCCCCGAGTCACGCGAGTCCGGTCTCTTTTGGGGAGTCAACATCGGGCCCGGAAGAACAAGCGGACAAGACGGCAAGCGAGCAGAAGCCAGCTGACCGGGAGGGAAGAAAACCAGGCCAGCCTAACAGGAGGCAAAGGTAAGAGAGTTTCGACATGGGGAGTCCACGGGCTCCTTGGGTTCCATCTTTAAGTTGTGGACTGCGGATTTGTGAACCTCGGGAGGTTTGGGGCGGTGGGACCTCCTGTGACCCCTGGCCTGGCAGCAAGGTCGGGGTCTCCTGCCCTTGATTTCTGTGCATCTTAAGCTACTTTGTGAGGCTGACCAGAGGTATTGCCCATGGATTACGGGGAAGGTTGCAGGCTTCTGGAGGATACCAAGTGCTTTGAAACCCTTTCATGTTAGGGTTCAAAAGGGAGAGGTTGAGGCTGCTAGATGTGAGCTCAGGCTCTGTTTGCTTACAGCCGGTCTTGGTTTCTGTTCTTTCAGTCCTCAGAAGACCCTGGCAAAGAAGTGGATGGGGAAGCAGCAGAGAAGAGGCAAGGTAGGAGGAAAGCCAGCTGGAGAAACGGGACATGAAGGAAAGGGACTCTGGACAGAATCCCCTCCCTGCCTTTAAGTCTCAGTCACGTATTAACCAAATTTCAGCTTCATGAGCCTTTGGGCGAGCTCCCTGTACCCTGGAAATGGGTCTCTGCCCTTGATGCTGTTTCATGTCTGCACCAGTTGGGTGGAAGGTGGACAACCCTGTAAGCCAGGCGTGTGTCACCACCACCTCGTTTGTAAAGGGTGTGGATCTGGTTGGTGGTCTTGTGCAGCGCGGCCACCCTGGGATCGGGTCCAGGCCAGCTGCCAGAGGCGGCTGCTGACGGCGCAGGCTCCTGTAAGCAGGGTGCGTGCTGCCTCCTACGAAGCGAGAAGGACAGTGGATTTGAACGTGCGTAGTGCTGGACGCCCTGTAATTGGGAGGCCAGGTCCGCTGCCATAGCCAGCCAGTCAGAGACGTGCCCCCGTAAGCAGGGTGGGCGTAGTCTCCTTTGGCTGGGCTGAGAGAGCCAGAGCAGTCTGCAGTGTTGTGCAGCAGGATGGCCTTGTAGACAGGAGCCGAGTCTTGTGAGGTGACAGCAAACTCTTTAGAACCCAGAGCTTGATGACCTTCCCGTGGCTGGGTTGAATCTCGTGGCCTCCTCTCCAATCCCTGTGTCCAGGCACCTGTCCTTCTTCCTGCATCTGTGCCTGGCACTCCTCATCCAGATGGGGGGGCCAGCCTGTGAAGAGGGTGCGAGTCCTGTGCCTCTTGGTGGAGGGCTAAGTTGTGCAGAGCTGTGGACCGCCCTGTAAGCAGGGTGCAGGTGTCACTGTGCCTCTGGGGACAGCTGTGTCCTTTGGATGGCCGTGGGCCCTCCCTGTAAGCAGGGCTCTGGGTCTTTCCCCTTTACCCCCTGCGGGCAGTCTGGCTAGTCAGGCGGACCGTGCCCTGTAACGAGGGTGTGAGTCCCGTGCCTCTCGGTGAAGGGCTAGGTTCTGCAGGGCTGTGGACCACCCTGTAAGCAGGGTGCAGGTGTCACTGTGCCTCTGGGGACAGCTGTGTCCTTTGGCTGGCCGTGGGCCCTCCTTGTAAGCAGGGCTCTGGGCCTTTCCCTTTTACCCCTTGTGGGCAGTCTGGCTAGTCAGGCGGACCGTGCCCTGTAAGGAGGGTGCCAGTCTCAGCCTTCTTGCCCCCCTGGGAGTGGAGGAGGATTTTCCAATGTAAGGCTGGAGGTGAAGTTGTTTGCGGCATGGAGCTCCTTTCTGGTCTGGGATGGTTGCAGGCTTCTGGAGGATACTGAGTGCGTTGGGGCCCCGAGGCTTAGTGACCTTCCTGTAACTGAGGTCCAGGTCTCTGCTCCTCTGCTGCAAAGACTCATGCAGGCGTCACTATTGAGATGGCCTCCACCTGCACCCTTTAAACAGGGCTGTGCCCCCAGCCCTTCTGGCCTGTGGGGAGGAGGCCTTGTTTAGTCCTTTGGGCTCTGTGGCTTCTGTCCTGTCTGGCCCTTCTGTCCACGGGGCAGCTTTGCCCCCTGATCAAGACCGCCTGAGGCAGCTGCCAGCTGGCATTCAGGACTTCGCAGGTTGTGTCTGGGCTTCATGCCCCAGCAGCCAGCTGTGTGCGGGGAGCACTGCCCTGTAAGCAGGGTTGCCGGTGCTTGGGGTCACTGTTCATGGTGCCGGCCTAGCAGTCCTGTCCAGCGTCCTGGCCCACGGCATTCTGCTCCTGGCTGGCCGGGATGTCAGCAGCCGAGCCCGCAGAGGTCTGCCCTCCCCACTTCCCGCAGACAGAGTGGCTGCAGGTCGAGGTAAGGGTAAAAGGGGGAAAGAAGCTGGGGCCTGTAGTCTGGTCCTCTGACTTAAATCCAGTGCCTGTATATTTTTTAAGCCCCCAGAAGGAGAAACAGAGAAGATGGCAGATGAGCGACTAAGGGAGAAAGAGACCCCCACCCGCCCAGCAGGAGGGAAAGGTAAGGGGGTTTGGACACACTCTCTGCAAGCTGCATCCCCAAGTTGTCGACCTTGCGATTAGCGCCTTGTGGAAGGTGGGAGCACTGGGACCTCCTCGTACACAGGATTCGTGTCGTAGGTCCTGCAGTGGTCACACATGGGTGACTGCTAGGGGGGAACTCGCCCTCATTTAGTAAACCGGAGGCATGTCACGTCCCCCTTGTTTTTAAAGGACACCAGGCTTGAGAGTGCAATGGGCAGCTACATTCTTTTCTATTTTTAGGGGGTTGTGCAATTCATTGCCAGCCAACTCCACTTCTGTTTTGTGTATTGTTGCAGGTCCCTGAAGGGCTGCTGGAGAACGAATGGAAGCAGGAAAAGAAAGCTTGGGAACAGCAAGCGTGGGTTGGGGTGGGCAGGAGGGAGCGAAATGTTTAATGTCTGCTTAGATAGGTACAGATGGAGACTGTTGTGTGCTTCTCTACACTTTCAAACACTCATTAGGAGCATGCAGCCACACGCTTCAAGTTGCACCGTGCATTCGGTCTTGGGTTGGCCCGAGTTGTGTTTGATGAGGTTGAGGCTTTGTGCTAGTTGTGTGTATTGATATGCAGCAGTCAAGGGTTTTGCAGGTTGTTCGGCTCTGCTAGTTAAGCAGTTGATCAAAATAGATGTGTGATTGAAGGCAGCGTGTAGGTTTTTGGTAAAGGTAGTTGGCGTGCTCAGCATGAAACCGGCAGGAGCAAGCGTGCCTAAGACGTGCACAATCACACGATAAACAGTATTGAAAACCTCACCTTGTGGCTGGAGCTTTTCTACAGAGAAGCTTTGGTCATTAGCCTTTCCTGTCGAGGCTGGCTGAAGGGATAAACTTTCTCATTCTGTCTGCCGAGCCGATCTGCGTTCTTACGTGTTTAATGCAAACATTTCCTGTTCTGATGGACCAATGGTAAAAGAGTGTGTAACACATGGTTCCTAGTCAGCAGTTTACAATTATTAATGCACTGCAGTAAATCAGTCCTGATTTATTTGAAGAACTAAAGGAGTAAGGTCCAGTGAAGTTGTGATGCTTTGTATAATTTGGTGAAGTTCAGCTGATCCTTGTCTAAAAAGACAAAAATAGTCCCAATAAAAATAAAATGCTCAGGAGATTTGTGAGCTTCTTGGTGTTTATTTTTTTTAAACTCCAGTTGTTTCAGACCTTCTCTGAACGCCTTTAGTACAAGTCTTGCTACTTCTAATGGCAGGGTGGGTGGGTGCTTTTTCTCTAAGGGCTGGGTCCCGGCAGTGGGAAGCTGCATTGTTACCTTGCAGGAAGAATGACTATGTGCATCCCCAGTTGCCTCCAGGTTTTCGTGAGTCCCTTAAGTCCAGCTGCGGTCCCCTTTGCCTGTTTAATGTAATGTCTGCAGGCTTCCAGCCAGCTCTACCCATGTCATCCCTGGGGGGCTGCTGAGTTTGGGGGGAGCCAAACCCATTTTTTCAGTGCCATTATATAATTGTTTTTAATATATTTTTATTTCTAAAAATCAATTATATTTTCAAATGTATTACTTGTTTTAAATATTGGGGAAAACCTGCAGCACATTTCCAGGGCATTTGGCTGGAGGGAGGGAATGAATATTTTTTTAACCATTGAAACAAAAATGTGTTTGATTAAGAGGCTTCTGATTAATGTAGCATATGAGATACACATCTACTCTTGCTTTTGGCTGATTCACATCAGCCTAGCTGCTGAGCATCTTGAGCCCGAGCCCAATAGCAGGGCTCCTCGGGCCCACAAACGCAAGGTGTCAAGATGTAGCCAGGGCAGCTCTCGCCGTTTCAGCGTTCGTTGCAGCCCTGAGGAGCCGTGGTTCACCTGCCGCTCCGCACCCTGCACTCCCCTGCCGGTCGCTTGTGCTCGCATAGCGAAGCTCATGTCTTGATCTTCATGGTGTGGGCAGGGGCAGGGCTTTCCCCGTTGAGCTGTGATTTTGGGTGCCTGCCGTGAAGCACCCTGAAGAGCTGTGATAGTTGTCTCACAGGTGCAGCGTTTTCCACATTTTCTGAAAATGGGGCTCTTCCAAAGCCCACCCGTAGGCACCCCTTACTATCCTGGCCGCTGTCTAGGGCAGGGTCACCTTGCTGAGGTGTTGAGATCAGCCTTTGTCTGCACAGAAGGGATTTCTGTTTCCTGGGCGGTTCTTAGGTTCCCGTTGGAAGTCAGACAAGCTTCTTGTTTAGATATTTTAGTCAAATTCTAAACGAGCCATTTTGCATGTGCAATTACTCCTGTAATGCCTACTATTCCCGGACATCTCCTATGAGGTGAAACAACACGGAGATAAAAAAAAGAAAAGAAAACGACCCCCAAAACTGTTCTGAAAAGGTCAACTGCTGCCCCACGCCACCCCACGGAGCAGCACCGGCCCGGCCCCTCCTCTCTGCCCGGCCGCTGGGAAGGGAAGTGGGGCCGACGCTGCCTCCCGGCCGCAGAAGCGCTGTCGCCCAGAAACGCCCAGGAGGCCCGAGCTGGGGGTGGCCCCAAGCCGACCCCACCGGCTGCTCCCGCCCCGCGGGCTCCCGCAGCCAAGACCTTGCGGCGCGGGCTCCGGATCGCAGTCGGACCA